AAGAGGAGTAGTGACTAGAAGATGAAAAATGTCAATAACATCGCACACAGTTCAGCAAGAGAGAGAGAGAGAGAGCAGAAAATAGGTGCGTGAATGCCGAATGAAGATCACCAGAGAGAAGAAAAGCAAAAAAAGAAGGTAACACTGATGGTGGCACTCGGAGTGTTGACAATGCACAGACCTCGCATACACACATTACTCTAACCAACCCACCCTGCCTATTTCCTCACAGTCTTTCGTTATATTAATGACTGTCCATTCTGTGGATCCTCAATATCAGATGAAAGGTTCGGGGACAATATACATCGAGGAAGACGGTCAAAAGGTATGCGAAAGCATGATTCAGCTAGCGTGGATAGTCTACATGCCAATTGGTTGCTACATACCAAGAGATAGAACAGTAACAGAACCAAATTGCATTCCGCAACTGCAGTTAGAAACGAGGGATCCAATGTTACCCATGCACACTTCAGCTATGAGTTGGGTTGGTAAGGCAACGATGAACGAAGTGATGCCTCATACTCTCAGCTGACTTCCCCTGAGCTGACACAACGCCGACTCTATAGGTGATAAAGACTTTGAAAAACTGAGTACGCTTTTCGACGCCCGATATGCCACAGCTACAAAAGTAAGCGATTCGATCCACTAGCCAGTAAGTTGAAAAGCACGGAAAGAAAACGAAAGCTGGTAGATGCATGTAGTTCGTATTGTCTCCTGAGTACCATTGACAATAACCGCTATGTATAGATATAGCTAACATTGGATGCGACCAGACAAGCTTAGGATGCAGAGCGAACGACAGAAGTTCATACCTTTGTCTAGAGAAGCCTTATGCGAACAAATAACTGAACACACAGGGCTGGCTTAGTCCGGCTTATTACGACAGCTTCAGCAAGTTGAATGAAAAGGGGATTAGCTCAGCTCTACCCGGTGACCAGAGACCAGCAGGTGATAAGCTGTCAAAGGAGTAGGTGGGCTAACTGAACAGAAAAGTTGAGGAGGGAAAGTATGAGTAATTTTGCATTGAATTCATTACGGCATATGTTCCTTTATCCGAGATTCCTATCGGTTCTGTCTACGTAACTGGCTTTACAGTCACACACGATGTGGTATACACAGTGTGAATGGACCCCTGATAGACCAGATTTCCTTCACTGGGAGTACGGGCAAACTTCGATTTCGGTTGATGACGATAACTTGCGTATTTGGAGAAACAGACAGACTCTGTCAGTCCTGCAGGCATGAACTCCTGAGTGCGCTCCCGAAAGGTGCTTACAACCAGACCCGGCGGAGAGTTCATGTGATAATTACTGAACACATCGGACATGTTTATGGACATCTGATTGAGTGATGAACGTCATTGATGTTATTCACCTCTGCTCACTTCTGAACTGCAGTCACTGGAAGCGTACACTGAAACCACAAAGGGCAGTGTGTCTTCTGACGCTGCCGGATACGAAAAGATTGGTTTGGCTTAACTGCTGAATGTAGTAACGACACTGTATGTGACCCGGGTGTGAAATATACGGCTGCGTTCAATGCAGAGTCGAAGACCGATTAGGACTTCAGGTTCTTATAGGCCGGTGGCTGACTGGTGCAGTCCAAAAGTCGCCAGATCGAATCTGTGTGGTTGCGGAGGACATCACAGCACGCTTAGCCCAAGTGCGGCTGATGATGATCGCGTTGCATTGAAGCGTCGGCACGGCATATCGGCACACTGCGGATACCTTGATTCAAAAAGTGACCTAGATGGAAATATGGCTATCTGTTCAAAAGAACTCGGAGCCCTGGTAATTCGAGTTGGCTGTGACTCAGAGCTGTACAAGTGGGTTGGAAAAGTTTCACTACGTTGGTTGTCGTTGTTGCTGAAACGTGCGAGGCGTAGGAACCACATAAACACCTGAATATCATCTTCATCGTCACCGTCAACATCATCACCACCAGCACCATTATCATCAGCATCATCATCATGGTAAAGACTACATGAAGCCTAGACTAGCTAATCGTACGAGATGGAACAAGGAAACTGTAGACTAATAAACCTATACTATATGCAAGGTCTGCGCAAATAAAAATATGAATTTTGTTAGCGTGGTTCTAAAATACAAATTAAATACAGTAATCAATTTACGAATAGGTATGTAATCGTAATAGAAAAGAGCAGAAAGTACAAGACGTGCGGCGGAGTGGAAAAACGGTACAGCGTCGCAGTTTGCTAGTTGGCAGACTGTCAAGACTGAATTGTTTGACCTTGAGGAGTCAAAGACATGTCAATAATGTAAATTGAAAACGTAAAGTGTCTCATAATGCGTGTTAAAAGAAAACATGTATAAATTTTTGTAAGGATATAAGGGTTTGGGAAAAAGGGATATTATGTCCTTAATGGGCAAACACCAGTTTGGCTGAATATGCAAAAATTCTCTTTGGACTTTACAATGATAACAATGATAATCGTCATCAATATACGTTAGCTGAGGGTGAGAAACACACATCAAATGTGTCGCAATACAAAAAGATGAGAGATTAAAAATTACAGACTAAAAAAAGCAAAAAAGTAACAATGCTAAAATCACATTAGGCGTAGGGTTGAGATGGTTGTTGGAGCGGGAAGCTGAAGGTAGCGGAGGGATAAAGATACAAAACAAACGCCACTGAGATCGGCTCCTAGCCATATCAGTTAATGTATCCAACCAAACGTGCTCATCGTCCTTAGAACCCAGTCAGGCAGTCGGGAAATAACAACCGACGCCCACTTCGAAGTGATGGTTTTCATTTCTCTCGACCAAGTCATCGCTTGGTCTCCCCTCCTCTTCTACAATCCGGACCCCGGGCGTGCAAACAGCTCATGTTGCGGAAGTCGGTGGGCTGGCATGCGCAACACGTGGCCCAACCATCTGAGCTAGATGCGTGATAAAACGGTGCTTAGCGATTCACTCGCTCTTCCAAAAAAAAGCGACGCCTAACACGCTCATCGTTCCCGCGGTATTCACACCAGACATGAGCAAAACTTCGGAGGTATGGATGGTCGAACGTATCCAGCCTCTTTATGTCTGTCGACGTGATGGGCCAGGTTTCGCAACTGCACAAGGGGTTGAACGGACGGCTGCACTGCCAACTCTACTTTCCAGAACGAGAGTGATGTTAGGCCGGTGCCGCAGTTGGCGGAGATTGGCAAAAGCACCCCGAGCTTTCGCTATACAGTTCGTAAATGCATCCTAATTCCCATGGGCGTCAATATAGCTGCTCAGGTACTTAAATTCCTGGACTACTTCTAGTCTGTAGAGTTGCCGGTTCACATGTTTGGTGTAGATCGCGAGCGCTCAGGCGCACAATCAGGAATGTAGGCAGTATGTCAACAAGTTGACCAATGGACGAACAGTGCGGTCTGTTATGGGGAATGCACGTACCCAGAAGATCGTGCAAGCCGAAAGCACATAAGGCACAAAGTTAACCAGCCTCTGCAGTTACAAGAGTTCATCTTTTCTGTCCAGCCTCCGCAATTAGATTCAGTTTTCTGAAACATTCTGCAAACGCTCGCAGATTGCTTTATGTAAAAAAAAATCACAGACGTCAGCAACCTCGGTATATGAATGAGACTGGACAACGCTGTATTCGCCTTTTGCTGGGCTAGTAAGAGCGCCTGCTACGAAGGACACGTTTTTCTCTCTCTCTGCCTGGGTCGTATAGGCGCGTGTGGGGCCAACGATTGTTCTACTCCCCGATTCAGCTCAAGCATAGAAAAATCTGGTGACTAAGTCTCACGGGTCGCACGAATCAAATTCCGTCGCCTACCTTCCCGCAAGTCGTTGGCTCATTTCGACAAGGAGAATCGTTACAACTAGGTCGTTATGATACGGTCAGTGATGCAACGATATGGAACGGTCGGTAAGTCAATGGAACTTTGGAACAGCGCATCATTAGGTATTCTTACTTCCTACCGCTGATTAACATAACAAGGTTTATGTGTCAACGTGTTTAGAAGCGCTTTTAAATGTCCTTCAGGGAATTGGAGCAAAGTTAACCAAATAGATTCGGTAAAAAGGGAGAATAACATCACGCTACAAATGTATTGTCGACCGAGCAGTATTGCTGAAAGTCGATCGAGATGCGAGGACGATTGGGACAGGAAACATGACAAAAGCAAGCTCAGTAGAATCAAGCTTCCATCCTCAAGATGAGGTTCAGGAAGTGAACTTGCTGGTTAATCACATACGGCCTGTGCGGGATCTCGTCAGTATTAAATCGCAACATATCAGTGTCCGCGTTTCGCCGAACAGCTCTGAGGAGAAGTGAATCCGTTGCGGTGCGACAATGTAACAAAGCCTAGTGTTACGGTAATCGATCTTTTTCGCTCAATGGAGAAAGTTACTTGAGGTGAATAGCGGAACGCTGCCATACCTTACCTTATTACAGCCGGCAACCGCCAAGAATGTACAAAGTCCAACCTCGGAGTCCCTGAGCAACATCGGATATTGGATTCGCCCAACCGAATCATATAATGCGTTTTTTTTTGGAAACGACTGAAACCATTTCCATAACCATTAACGTTGACCTGCAGTGGCGAGCTAAAACTACCCACCGATTGGTGGATAGCTGGTCTACAGTATTCCCTATCACTGTGCGGATAGGCAACGCATGGATTCCGCACCGAGCTAGGAGTAAATCACAAACAATATCTATTTCGTAATTACACATGCCTGGTGAGATGTACACAAAAGGAATTTCTTCGTGAGCTATTGGAATCTTACTGACGCCAAAAATGATAGGTTGATACACCGGAACTGGTCTATACAGAATAAAAGCTAAACTCCGATTCAAACACAGAACTAGCGGTCCTTAGTACAATCTGAAAAGTAACGGGTGCCAAAGCATAAAACAGCAGTGGTGAGATAAGCCGCGTGGTACACTGTGAGCAAGGTGGCAGTTAGCTAACCGGACCGTCCCAACAACCGGAAGTGCAATTATCGAGGCAATTATCAAGAGAATCGGTTGTGCTTTACCTTCAACATATTGCTTCAAAGGTAGAACAATGCCAAGTACAAGTCGCCCAGTGCCTGGTCGGAGAACACTTTTGATTTGACGAAGCATTGTCAGGGGTTTGTCACAGCGATCGAGAACATTCAGACAACTGACCACATCGTAACGCAAACTGCAAGAGATATCACTTTCGGCCGTTGGATACCAGGCGTCAATGTCGATAATACTACAAAAAGAGAGGGGAACAACCAATGCCGGGGGTGAATGAAGACGAATCTACCAAACGGTTGAACCGCTCTCCTGGCGCAAAAGCATCATAGCTAATTCGCCGCATGGAGGAAAACGCTGAGACAGTGAAACGAAAGCAAGTCACGATAAAGTGAACCAAAACTTCAAGGAAACATTAATTCTCAAAATAGCAAGAGGGAACGACATTTTAAAGAGGTGCTCCGAATTCAAGTATTTTGGGCACTCTCATCAGTCGTCTACATACAGTATGTGGAGTGGTCACTTTGATATGTTGGAATTAATAAAAGGAAAATATTGCATAATAATAAATAAATGTGCTAGACAAGGTGATGGTAATGGGGAAGGTGCAAAGAAAGGAAATCCAGACTTGTTCAAAGAACTGTCAATCACATGCGCCCAGCACATGGAGATCTAGATCCAAAAGTCGAAAAATAAGTAGTTGTAGGGGTCACACGCCAACATCAGGTTTAATGTCAGCCCCAGAAATTTCGGAGAGTGAGCTCCTAGGAGTGTGAAAAGAACACCGAAGGAGGGACGGTGTGTCGACACGCTGTGAGAGTCAGGTGAATGGGAGCGCGGAGTTCAACAACCTCGGCAATACCATCCGGAATAACAAAATAAATAATATGTCAGCTGTACGCCGTAACGGCGCTTCGCTGCCGCGCGACCACCACCAGTCGCGCGCGGGTTGTGTGTACCGCGAGGAGGCCCATCGCTACGCGGATTCAAACCGGAGGAGCTTATGGTTGTCACCCAGTTGCGCAGACCACTCGGCCACCGGCCGACGCCATCCGGAATACCCTAGATACATCAGCACATAGGGTCAGTGTCTGCGTAAGGTTGGTTTCAGATGACAACTGAAGATGTGGATCCGGCTAGGAGTGTTAAGCATGTACAACGCGCAATACGAGTGACAGGAACGTAGATCTTACTTTCTAAATAAAACAAGGCAGCCAAACGAACTGAAGTGGGACAGCGGGATGTCGTGTTGCGGAACCACATAATAGATTCTGCATGTGTATGTCACAAGACAAACTGCAAGATATGTGGGACCAGTGGATGCAAAACAAAAGTTCAGAAGAGAAATACTTGAGACGGTGGCGAGTAAGAACGCGCTATATCGAACACGGTTCCCGAAGCAACAGGCTACACACTTCAGTATACTCAACGTACCGTAGTCAAGTCAATCATCGGAATGTGTTGTCAGATTGTAGACAGATGGTGGAAGATCAGTGTAGTGATGGGAACCAACGTACGTGCAGTATAGAAGAAAAAGGATCTAGGGAGGGCAAGTGAAACACGATCAGCAGTATCCGGTCATAGAGTTGTAGGTCAATGTGATCGAGGATTGCGCGGCGTAATCCAAACGCACAATATACAGGACAAAACGGAAGAAATAAGGCAGACAGATACATGGAAAGGAGAAACGGTCGAGTAGACTCGGACGTACAAGTCTAGAATAAGTACACCAAAAACGTATAACTATGGGAAACGTGCGTACTAAATGTACAGAGTGTGGTGTAAGATGATCATTTGGGCGTAGGTGACTGAGGCGGTGTAGACAGTGAGGAAGCCAAACAATCGCGACCGGCACAAGCTGAACATGATTGTGTGATGCAGAATAGACTCAGCCTAGTGTCAACAAAGCACAGGCTGGCCAAGGAGAAAAGCGAATGGGATTGTTTCGAGTAGCGGCGATAATGAAAAATGACCAGTGAGAAGCCATCGCAACTAACCGGTGCCTCCAATGTGTGTAGAGTTTAAATGCTGCCAAGCTTTGATCGCTACCCATGCTTTATGTTGACTCACAGGACAGCAGTTTGCTTCGTGACCCAAGTTCTGAGCCCATAACGTCCACGTGAAGTATGCAGCAACCATTAGCACTTGTTTAAACAGGCAATCAATGTAGCGGCATCTAACAGATATGCCCCGAGCAAATACTTTCATAGAGGTACCGAGACCAGACGATTCGATGGGAGGCCAGACGTCGAGCAAAAGTCCGTCTGTAAATCCGGCACACCACAGTTGAAGCGTCCAGATGCGACGTACGCCCTGTCAGTCCCAGTGCGGGTATCCGAGTTTAGGAAAGGATAATAAAATGGAGTCTGGAATGGTTGCACCAGGTGTTTATCTTACTATTGGTGTAAAGATGTTATTCTGAAACTGAGAATCAGTTTCCTCAAATCGACAGATTAGAAGAAGCATGTTACGTTCGACTATCGGTGCCTTCACAGTTTAGAACACATCTATTAGAGGGCCGTGTTGCCCTTTAAGCGTCAAAACTAAAAGTTGGTAACAAAAAAACCTGTTAGTTGTAAAGCAAAGCATCGTTTATACCGTAGATAAATGGGTGGCGCTATTTCGTTGCGAAGACCTTACATTTATCACTTGCATTTTTGAGTCATCCACCGTCTAGTTAAGTTCATTGGTCCGTACGCCCTGCTCGTTCAAATGCACTTCTGTCTTGTCTCCTTGTCCACTTTGAATCATGTCTGGGCGCGTCAGTTCTCCTCTGCTTAACAGTTTAGTGCTTTGTTCGCTCGCGGCTATTCTCCAGCTAATCCGCTTCGCCGTTGGTCGTGATCAAGTTGTGTTTTGTTCCATCCAGACTGACCTAATCCTGATTTCTCTCTCTGATTTGCCCAAGCGAGAGCAGTTTGCGTTCACAGCGATTGACTGGCTTCCTGTCTGCCTATAACAGGTTGGTCGCCCTCGCTTAAACGACCAGCCACCACCACATCCTTTCTCTATTTTTGAATCTCTCTCTTCTCTATTTTTGTTAGACCGGTGTTGGCATGAGTTCCGTATGGATTACCAATGCGTGTGACCTTCAAGGCCTGTGCTGCAGACAGAGTCGTTTGCTCTCTATGATGCAAACTACGTTCATATTGTTTACTGAGCTGCACCGATTCCTTCGAACGATGTTAATTATGAACCTGACTTCATAACTCCTCTCCCTTGCGGCCTTAAATCCCTCTGCTCCACCAAAGTCTGTTGCCTCCAGGTTTAGTTGCACTCACACGATAATCTGACTCCGATACGACTGCGGACTGAAAGGCAAACCAATAACGTAGATCAGTGTGAGGGCAACGAGCGCTGACCTCACCAGTGCAGGGCGAGGCTGGTCACAAAATGCACACACACACACACACACACACACACAGCATTCAGGCTATGACCCGGCGATACGTTGAAATTCTTACCATTCGTTCACCGGATCACTGACTGAGCGATGGATCACGAGCATATACCGCCGTCACCAAGTTACCCTCAATTCGACTCGTGTTACGTGCCTGTTAATCAGCGAGTGATTAGGTTTCGTCTGTAGAGTGAGTGTGGGTGTAACGCTGAACAAACTGCTTGACAATACAACACTATCCACAGTGCCAAGCGGACCAGCAACAGTCGGTACGTTCGTCGTCTAGAAAAAAAATTGAGAAAACTTGAAGCGTTTGCGACGCCATAAAGAGAGGGCGGCCTCACATCACCACGGATGACTTTTCTGCTTGTATGGTTGTTCGTGAGGTATCCAGAAGTTGCGATCTGAGCATTCGTAAACTCGCTCAGCATTGTGACACCACCACATATGTTATCCATAGGATTTTGAAGGAAAAGAAATTCCGGAAGTATAACGCCCGTCAAGTGCAGCTTTTAAACATGCGATTCGGAGAAGCGGCTTGATTTTTGCCGCAGATTTTGTATACTATGGACATCCACTCAATTCTTTTTACCGAGGAGGCTGCTTTCCATTTGCACAGTGTGTAGAAGCAACAGTTTTGGGCAACCCGTAATTCACGCCGATGCAGCGCTTCATGTATATAACAAGGCACAAAGCTCAGGGTATGGGCTGGGTTAACTGGCCAATGCAGGTAGCGAATCACAAGTATCTCTTACGCAGTGTGTTGATTTATATGCTGGGAAACAGTTCCCATGTTTAATATGGCTTAATGTATATATGGTAGCGTAGGGAAAATGTTGGCCTTGTGATAAGATACCCTAAGTCTCTTCAGTTTGCTTTCGCCGATGTTCAGTTGTGTACGTTTGTCGCATTGCCTATAGGTGCGGCTACTTACCACAGGTGCCAGTACATCAGTACGTGCAGCAACATTGTTGACAAATTCACCGGCAGCCATAGTGGGGTTTTTGGTTCAGAATTATGGCTCCTATTTCATAGTGCAGATAAGTTTCTTAAATACATTCCAGTCAATTCGGTGCATGTTATAAGTAGGTTGCAACTTTGTACTGAAGTGGCTTAGTTCGTTCAATGTGCAAGATACAAAACACCGTGTTGTGGTCGCAGCACGGTAGCGGACTGTAAACGAGTGCACAAGTGGAATGGATCCTCATGGTGAATGCTAAATATAGGGTATTGGCATTTCCGGTGGGCCGTCTGACATATGTGATGCAGCCAATGAAGTGGATAGAGTACACCATTTCGTTTAGTCCCATTTAGACTGTAGGTTCAGGCAGTAGCCAGTTAACTTGTGGCCCAATGAAATGTTCACACATAAGCTTGGATTTGTAGGGAGTGCTAGAAAGTGAATGGATAGCATTTATTAGATGTTTGGTTTCATGCTGGGTTGCACGGACAGGGCGGTAGATACAATCAATTACAAGATGCCAACAAACTGTGAGACGTTGTGCAAGCTAACCTTTGGAACTTGGTGAAATAGTTTAAGCATTCCGAGATATATACTTACAACGGACTTTTCAGCATCAGCAGCCACTGTTGTGTGGTTAAGAACGTTCAATTGGAAAGTTGCACCTAACCAGGCCTGTAGAAAACCATGTTATGTGTAATGGATTAGATATCCCGAGAACAAGAAACCTATCATCTCGTTTTAACCATTCGTTGTTTTCCAGACAGTCCGAGTCTGATTTAACAAAAGGCAACCAGTATGTTGCTCTTTTGTGAAGCATACTGGATAGGTTAGATTCATCCATCTTCTCCCGGGTGCTGAACGCTTACGTACGTCC